TTTGTGGCAGCCCTAAATAATAGTAATAGTTTCAATGTGATGCAAATGATGCTGAACGACAAGCAATGAAATGCAAAAAGCAAAAATTCCTCATTTTAACATTGTCATAAAGTTCAGCGAAACACAAAGAAGAGGAGTAGAGGAGAAGAACATGTACTGTGTTAAAATCACAGCCAGGCATAAGAAAACAATTGAGTTTATTTGTCATTTGTCTTATTTATCAGTGTTTATTTTACATTGTGACAAAAGAATCCACACTTGATAGTCAGGCCTCATTATGATTATTATTAGTAGTGTTTGACATTTGTCAGAGTGTGGAAGGAGAGTTAAAAACAAATCCACAAATTATTAGTAAAACTACCGTTAAGACATCTACATAATGTCATTTACTAATCATATTATTAATGTATTTATTTATTTATTCATCAGCAGTCTTAAGAAAGCCGGGAGAGGCTTCAGGCGACTACGACGGGTTATTTTACGACATAAATTTTGCCTGGTTTCTACATTCAGGCCTGGGGGGGGGGTTAAAAAATGATGATGTTTAACCACATTTCTGACTAAAAATAGACGAGCAATAGAAATGTATCTACGAGCAGTGTGTGAATATAAAGTATGACAACATTAAGCCCAAGCAGGCCCAGTTTTTAATAAGAAGACTCGTAACACAACCGCAGCAGTGATGATGTTGCTACAGTTTAAAAAGTCTGTCTGTACGCACAGCAAAGAGCAAAGAGCTGTTACAGAGACACTGACCTCAGGGAGAGACGAAGAACATGTTTTTCCCAGTAAAACCGTCACTGTTTGGGGGTGGAGCAGGCCACAGGTCAAGGCTTTTGTAAGATATACAAATAAAAGGTTTTTTTGCAGACCAATAAAAATGTACACGAACCAGTAAAACTGTGAGGCGCTGACAGATGTGACAGATGCTCATTTAAACCATTAAACATTGTAATGTCTGAAATGGAAACCCAGGAGCAGACCTGTGTTTTTATTATTGCTCATTAAAAAAGATTATTTATCAATAATTGCTGCTCTAATCTCAATCCCATGTTGCTTTGTTCTCGAGTTCTCTCATTCACAGATGTGTGTGTCCACACCACGTGCCGCTCGCAGTACCCCACAGCCTTTTACAGCTGTAGTCTGTGGTTTGCATGGTCCCTCATCAAGACCAGTTTAAATGGGCTGGTTCTCCCTACCTGTCATCAAAGGGAGTTTTTGCACCTGTAACTAACTACTGCAGTGTTGTTTTGCAGCTATCTGCGGCTGCATTTGGAGTCTCCCTTTCAGGGGACAAACTTCTGAGGCTGATGCTGTCCGCTCGAGTAATGCTGCCTGTGGTCACTGCTGCTACGACTGCTAATTCATTTGGAAAACAAGTTTAAATCACGAGCATTACCAATAGTTGCACACACAATGGCAAAGCTTCGGTTTCCTCTCCTACAGCAGCTTTTGACCTTCTTTTCATCATTTTGTATCACCTGAAATGTTTAGAACAGAGCTCCACATATTTCTGGCATTTACACACATGTTCATTATTGTTATGCAGTCTGAATGCTCTCTGCCTGAGTCCATCTAAAATGCTCCTCTCTGACAGGACCCAGCAAATCTGCCATTTTTAGCGTCTGTAAGAACAATGGCATAAATGTTTTATGCTTTAATGTTTCACAAACTAAAAGTGAAGCTTGCACTCTAGAAGCCTTATGTCTTCTAATTATGTATATCAGTGTTTATAGACAGGTTCAGCCTGGTGATTCTGTGGTGGACTCATTTAAACTTCTCCTTTTTATGTTGCTGCAGAAACAAACTAAAGTAAAAGCCGGCCTACAGCACATTGTTGGGCCATGGTCACTTTCTGCTCCATATCATGTTTGGCTTCAATCACACAGCTGGTGCAGAATAAGAGGGTTTGAATATTTTGACTTGTTTTTAGTTTTCCGGCCCCTCGTGCCAATAATTCCCTCCGTCCATCTTCTTCCGCTTATCCGGGGCTGGGTAGCGGGGGAGCAGCCTAAGGAGAGAAACCCAGACCCCTCTCTCCCCGGCTCCAGCTTATCCAGAGGATCACCAAGGCGTTCCCAGGCCAGCTGAGAGATGTAATCCTGGGTCTGCCCCGAGGCCTCCTCCCGGTGGGACATGCCCAGAGCACCTCACTCAGGAGGCGCCCAGGAGGCATCTTTATCAGATGCCTGAACAACCTCAGCTGGCTCCTTTCGATGTAGAGGAGCAGCGACTCGACTCTGAGCCCCTCCCGGATTGGCTGAACTCCTCTCTGAGGGAGAAGCCAGCCACCCTTTGGAGGAAGCTCATTTCTGCCGCTCATTCTTTCGGCCATGCCAGTAATTATTTATGAGTTTTAGCAAACATACAGCATGTTACTGTCCAACCAACAGCTCATGGCACAAAAGCCTACCTCTGTGGATCCAGTAAAAGCCACCTTGTCGACATCCATGTGCCTTGCAATGGCAGCACCAGCTGTTGGTCCCATGCCAGACAGGATATTCACAACACCTTCAGGAAAACCCACCTGCAAACAGAACCAAAGCTTAGTAAAACCTTTTTTGTGTTTACAGTCACATCAAAAATACTTTACTCTCTCTTTCAATAAAATTTAACACATCAGGACATTTTTTAAATCATGTAGTCCTCACCAGGTCCTATACGATTTAAATACAACTCAGATGAATAACAATACACAATGTGTTAAACCTCGTCATTATTGATCTCCCAAAACTGAAACAAAATGCAGCAGCAGTATGTAGGACGCCCCCCCCCGGGTTCAGCAGCGAGTCGCAGCGATGGTTTCTCTGTGAATAATCTCTCACATCACCCCCGGAGGAACTTTACTCGCTCTTCTCTACAACAATACTTTAAGTCATTGAGCTTTGTGGGCATGTGTTTATGCACAGCTCCTCGAGGGTCCCAGCACAATATTTCAGTTGGGTTAGGGTCTTGGTGTTGAGTAGACCACTGCAGGACCTTAATTCTTTTCCTTTTCAGGCACTCTGTTGTAGATTTCCTGCTGTGCTGGGATCCTCGTCCTGCTGCTCGATCCATTTTGGCTCACTGACAAATGGCCGCATATTTGACTACTGAGGTAGTTAAAATAAGCTCTCCAGTGTCCTGGCCCCTCTGGTAGATGACGTTAAACCTAATTCTGCTATGGGATGGCTGTTGGAGAGCATTCCTCCCTATAGTGGTACCAAAGGTTGTATTCCAGCTTCCGAGGAAATCACACCTCCCAGACTACAGTGTGTGCCAGCGCTGGAGAGGAGATTCCTCTCTCAGTCTGGGCTGGGTGGGAGTTTGCTCTTTGTCACCACTGGCTCATGATTTCATGGATTGAATCCCATCTCTCAGAGAGGTCGTTCTCCGCAGCCATGGGGCAGCACTCCTCGGCCTCTGCCCACATTCACTGTGGCGTTCCTCAAGGATCTGTGCTCGGCCCAGTTCTTTTTTCCTTGTACATGCTGCTGTTGGGATTAATATTTAAGAATATAACATTTCCTTTCACTGCTACGCCGACGACATACAAATTTATTTCCCTTTGACATCGGATGTTTCTACTTCTCTGCGAGCCCTATTTGACTGTCTAAGTGAGGTCAAAACTTGGTTATCACGTCTCTCACACTGAACCAGGATAAGACAGTTTCAGTTTTTGATAGTCACACCCCGCTGGAACAACTAACTGATGCCTTATCACGCTCTTATCACTTCCAGATTAGACTACTGTAATTCCCTCTACTCGGGCCTCCCACCTTCCTCTACTCACCGGCTCCAGTTAGTTTGAAACGCAGCTGCGCGTCTCTTAACTGGTACTAGAAATTATGCCCACATCACACCAGTTTTAGCCAACCTACGTTGGCTCCCTGTTGATTATCGTATCAATTTCAAAAATTCTCTTGCATACCTTTAAAATTTTAAACAATTTGGCTCCCAGCTATCTATGCAAACTCCTCTATTTGTATATCCCTAATAAGGCATTTGATCTTCCAATCAAACGCTCCTGACGCAACCGAGGTCTTGTCTGAAGTCCAGACTCTGGAGTAACCTCCCTCCTTATATTCGTTCCTCCGAGTCCATCCAGTCTGGCTTTTGATTCAAACTAATATGTTATTTTGTGGCTAGTTATGTTTTTTTTTACCCAGATTGTTCATATTGTTTTAACTGTTTCTTTTTTATTCTGTCTCATGCTATTGCTCTGACCGACTGTGAAGCACTTTGGGCAACTTTGTTGTTTATTATGTATAGAAATAAATTTGATTTGATTTGAATTTCAAGGCAGCAGCCAGGGGTCAGAGGGCTTCAGGTTCAGCGAGCTCAGGATCTTATCTCTGCTTTTTGCTCATGATGTGCTTCCTTTGGTTTCATCCAGCTGCAGCAGACAGCTTGCAGTGAGGCTGTTTGCAGCGCTGCATCTCTGCGCTGGCTTTGGAGCACCTGGTGGACCCAGAGGAGGTGGCTGGCTGACGAGGTCTATGTTGCAGTGTTCTGGGCCCAGACCAGGTTAAGATGCACAAAAATATTTATGAATATTTTGGGGACTTCTTTTGATTTTACAACACATTTCTCTACATTATGTAACAAGATTTCACAATTTAAGTTCATAACAAAGAAAAAGATTGAAATACTGATGTCGACGTTCCTCTGTGCTACATTTGTGAGGACTAATACTTTGCGATGACAAACTGGAACATACCTCTTTGATTAGGCTGGCTACATAAAGCGCAGTGAGCGGCGTCTGCTCTGCGACCTTCATCACCACAGTGTTACCAGTTGCCAGGGCAGGGCCAAGTTTCCACGCCTGCATCAGCAGAGGGAAGTTCCACTGCAGGAGGAGACAATTATAAGTAAAGATCATTTGACACTTCACCTATAAAATATCCACATCCTGCTTCTATTAACGCTTCTGTGACAAAGGAAATCA